TTCTTCGCTAGCTCATTTATGGTTTGTTCAATTTCTTTTTTTTTGATAGTTATTTAAGTATTCTTTTCCTCTTCTGTTAATCTGGGCATTTTATGTTTTTGTAAATATTCATCCATTTTGCTTAGATTGTCAGATTTATTGGTATATATAATTGAGCAAAATAACTTCTAATAATTGCTTTAATTTCATCTTCATTGGTGGTGAAGTCACTCTTTTCATTTTCGATGCTCAGTAATTTGATTATCTTCTTCCTTTTTTTAAATCAATTTGAGCAATGGTTTATCTCTTATACTATTTTTTCATAAAACCAGTTCCTACTTTTATTTATCAGTTCAACGGTTTTCTTGCTTTCAATTTTATTAATCTCCCTTTGATTTTTCAGAATTTCCAATTTGGTGTTTAATTGGAGATTTTTAATTTGTTCTAGTTTAAGTTTTTTTAGTCATATGCCCAATTCATTGATCCGCTCTTTCTCTAAGTTATTGACGTGAGCATTTAGAGATATAAATTTTGTCCTAAGTAATGCTTCAGCTACATCCCATTTTTGGTATGCTGTCTCATTGTTGTCCCTCTCTTTAATGAAATCATTGTTTCTATGATTTGTTCTTTGACCCGCTCATTCTTTAGGATTAAATTATTTAGATTCCAATTAATTTTTAATACATGTTTTCCCAGCCCTTTATCGAATATAATTTTATTGCATTATGGTCTGAAAAGGATGCACTTAATATTTCTGCTTTTCTGCATTTGATTGAGGTTTTTATGCCCTAAAACATGGTCAGTTTTTGTGAAGGTACCATGTACAGCTGAGAAAAAGGTATTCTCCCTTCTATTCCCATTCAGTTTTCTACAGAAGTCTATCATATCTAACTTTTCTAAAATTCTATCTCTTAGCTTCTTTTTCCTTAACTTCTTTCTTATTTATTTTATAACCCAGAGCTTTCTGCCTCCAAATCCAGTGCTCTATCCACTACACCACACTATCTCAACAGCTTACTTTGTGCATAACTGCCCATCTTCAGTTACCAGAGGCTCAAACTATTTTGCGCTGGAAGGAACTTCAGAGATCCCCTGGCCTGACCCCATCATTATACAGATGAGAGAGCTGAGCACCTGTCACTGAAAGGACTTGTCCAAGGTCACACAGATATAGTGATGGACGCAATAACTGAGTTCAAATCCCAGCTCTGCCATGTACTATCTGTGTAGCCTTGGGTAAGTCCCTTAACCTCTCTGGGCCTCCACCTCCTCTTCTGGCCAATAAGGGGGTTGGAATAGATGGTCACTAAGGTTTCTTTAGCTCTAAAGCTGGAAGCCTATTTCCATAAGCCTATGGAACCTGCTAGGAATGCTTCTTTGGCCTTCCCTGTTCTGAGGTCCCTCCCAGCTCTGACATTCCCTGTTCTCAGGCCCTTCTATCTCCTGTTCTAAGGGCCCTTTCAGCTGAGACAGTCAGTCTGGGACGATGACCTTAGTGTTCTAGCTCCTCTCTGTACGTGCTCTTAGATGTCTCCCTGAGTCTGCTCGCTTTCTACTGACCCTTCATTGTTCACACACCAGGAGAAGAAGATGGAGCGGGGGAAGGTGGTTCAGGGGCTCTGGTCCTGGCTTTGTTCACACAAAGAGCCGGGGCTGACCAGACTACCAAGGCCTTGTCCACTGTCCCATCACCTCCCCATTAGCCTCCCACGGCACCAGCCTCACCCCATCCAGGTTCCTCCCAGGGATGCTTAGGACATTGTTTCCAAAAAGTCGTTGTTAAAAGGAGGTACTGATTTCTACCACCACCACCCCCTTTAAAAAAAATTCCTGTTCTCATTGTCATCTTTGGTTTTTATATCACCTTAATTTATTGGACACTAGGTGGCACAGTGGATAGAGCGGTGGGCCCGGAGTCCGGAAGCCCTGAGTTCCAATGTTGCTTCAGTCACTTACTAGCTGTGTGACTCTGGGCAAGTCACTCAAATGTTTCTTTGCTTCAGTTTCCTCATCTGTAAAATGGGGATAGAATAATAGTCGCTATTATGTAGACTTTGCAAACCTTAAACTGTTCTATAAATGTTAGCTATTATAATGATTTCATTAAATTTGAGCTCCTTGAGGGCATAGCATGGGAATAGAGAGCAGATTAAAAATTTGAATTCAACAATATAGGGCCTCTCTTTTGCCTCCTTTTGTATCCCCAGTGCTTAGCACAGTGCCTGGCACATAGAAGGCACTAAATACATGTATCTTGATTGATTGAAATATAGCCCTTCCCCTTCCCCTTAGTCTTAAATGAGAAAAAAGGGGTTCAACAAAGCCAACTGACAAATCAACCAATTCTGACAGTGTATAGCCTATTCCACACCCACAGTCCCCCACTTCTGCAAAAAAGAAAGGAAGGCTCTGTTTCTCCGAGGCCACGCTTGGTTACTATAATTACACAGTTAAATATTTTTTTTTACAAACTTTGCAGAGTTGTCCAATCCCTTTCCCAGCAGGCCCCTCGGGAAGCAGGCTGGCCGCCCCCATCACTCAGAACATTTCTAGGCCCCTCTTCAGGCCCCAGCCGGTGTCTCCCACCCAACCGGTCCCCAGAAAATCTCTACCTTTGGACGAAGAGCCTGACCTTGGCAAAGAGCTGAAAGACCGAGCTGGTTACTCTAGATTATCCACAGATGTTCTAAAGAGCTCTTCATTTGGACTAGTGTAGGAGATGCTGACTTTGACCTTTGGTCAAGAACCAGAGGGGGATAATAACATAGAGGAAGCATATTCTCCGATAATCTGCACGTTGCTACTCAGTCGTTTACGTCCTGTCCAACTCCTCATCCGCCCCTTGGGGTTTTCTTGGCAGAGATGCTGGAGGGGTTTGCCATTGCCTTCTCCGGCTCATTTTACAGATGAGGGAACTGAGGTCAACAGGGTGAAGTGACTTGCCCAGGGTCACACAGCTAGGAAGTGTCAGAGACCAGTGCTCTATCCCAGTGCACCATGTAGCTGCCCTGACAACCCTCGTCATTTACTCCCAAAGAGGAGTTCCAATAATAATTATCTTAAGATACCCTGACCAGGTGACTCTCCTGCTTATAAATCTTCAGTAGCTCCCTACTTCCTCTAGGAAAAGATGTACCCCACGCCCTTCAGCCTGGTACAAAAGACCCTCTATAACCTGGCTCTAACTTTCTCCTTCTAGACTTATTTCATGCTGAAGGGGTCTGTCCCCAAAGGGAAAGCATCAAGTCTACAAACACCCCCTCCTTTTTTCTTTCAGGCCCAGCACAAAGGGTGATTCAAACCCAGCACCAATGGGTCAGAGACAACCAGGTCATCCCACTGGATGGTGCTCAAGGAGAGGTCCTTATCCTGGATAAGGCATGACAGGGCACACCCCCAGGCCTCTCAGTGATACTGTTCATTGGCAAGCCTGCCATCTGTAAAAAGAAAGCAGTCCCCCATCCCTTGAGCTCATAAGAACACGCACCCAATGGTGCCTTATTCACATCATGAGCTCTGTGGGATGTTCTTCAGAAATGACAGGTCATCTCCAACCTCTGAGCATTTGCATAAACTGTACCTCAGGAGTGAGAGAGACCTTCTTTGTCACTACCTCTCAGCATTCTCCCCTTCCTTCAGGCACAGCTCATGGTCACCTTCTCCATGGAGCCCTTCCAGATCTCCCCTCTCCACTTTGTTAATACTCCCTCTCTCCTCAAATTACCCTCTATTTACTTCTCTGTGTGCAGCTGAATTCCCAGTAGATTGTAATTTCCTTGAGGTCAGCAATGGTCTCCTTATTTTTTTATATCTCTAGTCTGTTATTATTATTAACTCATATAACTTTGAACCACGCTATTATTATTATTATTATTATTATTATTATTATTATTATTACTAACAACAATTCAGAGACCCCATGCAGGTAGTATGCACCGTGCCTGGCACACCGAAAGCATTTAATGACTGTGTGCTGAGGCAGCGGAGATCCCTTCTAATCCTACACCCAGGGTCCTAGAAATGACTCCACCAAGGTCAGGCAGGGAGTGAGAGACAGGGCTAGGAATGGAAGCCAAGTTCTCTCTCTCTGCCTCCACTACCTGCTCAGGCTGGGGCAGGGTGTCTGAGGATCTCCTCCGGCTTCTTTCCATTAGCAAATTAGCACCTGCTTCCTTGATAAGAAAAGCAAATTGTCATCTGTGAAAGCCCCTGGCAGAGCCCAGCCCTGAGGTTCTGAGCTCAAGGACATCTGAGTTCTAGAGGTTTGAATGGAGAGCCATGGGGCTGTAAGGGGTGAGAGGGAACCTTGCCAAGCCAGGGAGTGGCCCCTGCTGCAGACGGCACGGGGACCTTGGTACTGGCTGGGGACAGACAAGTGCTTTGAGGTTCCCTCTCTCTTCCTCCCCTTTGGCAATCATTTCTTCTTTCCCTATGAGGCTCATTCATTCATTCCACAGTACTCCTTAAGCACCTACCAAGCTTCTGGTCCTATGCAAAGTGCTGGAGACATAAAAACAAAAATCAAATGATACCTGCCCTGAAGGAACTTGTTCTCATGGGGGGAGAGGGAATAAGCATTTACTAAGGACCTACTATGTGCCAGGCACTGGCCTAAGCACTTTATAAAAATCATGTCACTTGGTGATAATGTGTAGACAGCTAAGGACATGCAAAATGTACACAAAGATAAAAAGTCATTTCTGGGGAGAGGCGCTAGCCGCTGTCACTGTACTACTGAGCCTCAGTTTCCTCATCCGTTAAATGAGAGAGTTAGACAAGATGACATCTAAGGTTCCAAAGTTCTACCAGTCTATGCTCAGGATAGGCTCTGGGTGGGGGGGCCTGAAGCTGAGCTTTGAAGGAAGCCAGGGGATTCTGTGTGCTAGAGGTGAGGAAGGCATGCACACCTGGCATTAGGAACAGCTTGTGCAAAGGTTTGGAGACAGGAAATAGGATGTCAAGTATGTGGTACAGCAAGTAGGCTAATATAACACCTGGATGCTTGGTTCTTTTCTATGCAGATTCTCAGCAGCCAAGACGAATGGTTCAAAGCTGAGCTGAGGAGTCAAGAGGGCTACGTACCGAAAAATTTCATAGACATTCGCTTCCCTAGGTAAGTACCATCAGGGCATTAGGGAACCTTCTGAAGTGATGGAGATAGTGTGTGTGTGTGTGTGTGTGTGTGTGTGTGTGTGTGTGTGTGTGTGTG